AGTCCAACAATCACTGCAGCATCACCAAAAAAAAAAAAAAAAACCCAACCTGACAGTCAGCTCAGGTTTTGTCTCTAAATCAATAAATATTTCAGCACAATATTTTCCTGACAACATTTCCCGAACCACCTGTGACGTAACGACCTGCACGAACCGAGCCCGGAAGTTACCAGCTCGCATTAATTAGTGATTGGGTCCGTCCTCCTATAAAAAGGAGGCGCGCGCATCGCTGCGCCCTGTACCCAGCGCGAGCAGAGATGAGCTACGGGTCTGAAGTCTTCTCCTCCTCCTCCTACCGGAGGGTCTTCGGGGATTCTCCCCGCTACTCGGCCTCTCCGTCGCGCGCAGCGATGAGCGTCTCCTCCCGGGGAGGGTACCGCTCCACCTCGCTGTCCCGAGCCGGGGCTCCGTCCCTGGGCTCGTACAGCAAAAAGTCCGGCCGCTCCTTCTCCATGCCGCTGGAGACGTTCGACCTGACCCAGAGCACCGTCCTCAACAACGAGTACAAGATCATCCGCACCAATGAGAAGGAGCAGATGCAGGGTCTCAACGACCGCTTCGCCATGTTCATCGAGAAGGTGCGCAACTTGGAGCAGCACAACAAAGTCCTGGAGACCGAGCTGCTCGCGCTGCGCCAGCGGCAGGCGGAGCCGTCCCGCCTGGCCGAGCTCTACCAGCAGGAGATCCGAGAGCTGCGCTCTCAGCTGGAGGAGCTGAACGGGGAGAAGTCCCAGCTGCTCATCGAGAGGGACAACATCGACGACGACCTGCAGAAGCTCAGGGCCAAGTACGAGGAGGAGTTCCGCGCGCGCGAGGAAGCGGAGGCCACCCTCAAGGCTTTCAAGAAGGACGTGGACGACGCCACCATGGTGCGCCTGGACCTGGAGAAGAAGGTCGAGTCGCTCCTGGACGAGATCAACTTCCTCCGGAAGGTCCACGAGGAGGAGGTGGCCGAGCTGACCGACATGATCCAGGCCGCCCAGGTGTCCGTGGAGATGGAGGTCTCCAAGCCGGACCTCACCTCCGCGCTCAAGGAGATCCGCGGCCAGTACGAGTCCATGGCCTCCAAGAACCTGCAGTCCGCCGAGGAGTGGTACAAGAGCAAGTTCGCGGACCTGTCCGAGCAGGCCACACGGAGCACCGAGGCCATCCGGGCCAGCAGGGAGGAGGTGAACGAGTTCAGGAGGCAGCTGCAGTCCAAGACCATCGAGATCGAGAGTCTGAGGGGAACCAACGAGTCTCTGGAGAAGCAGCTCCGGGAGATGGAGGACAGGCACAACATGGAGATTGTGGGCTACCAGGTAAATTTAACTCTTTTTAATTTACTCACTGAAAATTCACATCAGCCTCAGTTATTTTAAACTGAAATGAACTGATGATCAGCTGCAGCAGCTGGGGCTCTGTCCATGGTGCTGAAACACTCCCCTGAGAGAAAACACTGCGCTGCAGCTGACAACGCCCACAGGATGAATACAAACAATGTAAATGAGTCATTTCAACCTGCGGATGCTCTTCATCAAACCTCTTGGACAGAAAAATGCCTGAACTCAAACATTTAAACTGATTTTATTGTAAAATAATTGAATTCTTTGCTGTCAAAAGATCATGTGTAACTTTGAGATGATAAACCCTCAGTGCTGTTCCCCCAGGAGAACATGGCCGAGCTGGAACACGAGCTGCGGACCACCAAGAGTGAGATGGCACGGCACCTGAGGGAGTATCAGGACCTGCTGAATGTCAAAATGGCGCTGGATATTGAAATCGCAGCATACAGGTGAGGTCATAAGCTCAGCAGTGCCTCCCTTCACACATGACTCCCTCTGAACCGTTTCCCCTTTTCCGCAGGAAACTGCTGGAAGGAGAGGAGACCCGCATCGGGACGGGCATCGCCTACCCCAGCCCTTCCATGAGCGTCGGCCCCGGCCAGGGCTACAGCTACCAGTCCCGCGTTTTCACCAGCTCGGGCAAGAGCGCCAAGAAGGAGGGCAAAGAGGAGGAGCCGCAGCAGAACAAAGCCGGCAGCAAAGTGTCCCAGCGGGAGGTCTTCGAGGAGACGGTGGTCTCCACGAAGAAGATGGAGAAGCAGCAGGAAGACGTCACTCAGAAAAACTAAAGGTGTCAAACCTCTCCGCACCCACTTCAAAAACCACTTTAGGTGTGCTGGACGTCTGCAAATGATTTGAGTGAAGGATCTACAGGTTTGGTTTTTAATGGAATCATTACATCCCCTCATCCTCACAGATAGAAATCCATTATATTCATTACACCATCAATAAAATAAACAGTACATTTCTGTCTTTTTCACAACTCGTTCTTAAATAAGTCACTTCAGTAGATTATGTGCAAACAACAATAATCTTCTGGTCTTTCTCAATAATGTTGCATCAATCTGTAGGACCGACACGTAGATCTGCATCTCTGTCACAAGCAGTGAGTTTGTCTCAACGTGTTCTAAAAAAAAGTGTTTCAGAGCATCGTGGTGCACATTTACACATAAAAATAGATCTAAAACAAACCGGCTAGACAGATTTGTTTGATCACCGACAGATCTGGAAGGAAATACACTCTCTTCACTGCAAATAAAAAGCAAAATCTCAAAGTTCTTGTTTTAATTCTAAAAATTGAATCTCATTTGCACATTTTTTTTTCAAGCAGTCTGATCAGATCTGTAGGACAATTAACAGCCTCGAAGCAGTTTCGCCTTTTTTTTTGTTTAACTCTTTTTCATGACATCATCTTTATTTGTTAATACCACTTAAAGCAAACATTTAAAAAGAAAAATCCCATCATGATTTTTAGAAATGTTCTGCATGGATAGAGCTCATCTGTTCAGTCAAGACGATTTAAGAATCATTAGGTACTGTACACTCAAAACAGTTTAATTTGATTTTATATTCCAGCACAAATCGTCTGTTCTTAATGTGAATATAAATAAGAATGCTCGTCTCTGCAGAACATAAATAGAAACAGGAGCTGATTAAGTTTGCACAAGAGCCTATAGAGACATGAACGCTGAAATTTGTACTAAAACGATGCCAAACTGCAGCTGAGATGAGTTTTTAACGGTTCCATATGGAATGATAAATGATCCTTCAGCACAAATGCATGAGATTCTGTAGGATTCATTTATCAAAGCACATTTAAACCCCATATCATGACAGAAACTGAGTCAAAGTTTAAAACTGTGGCCATGACTGGACAAAATGTCTGTTGTAGTAACGACCTCGCTGCTCCTGAACGTGAAGCTTTTCTCTTAGATTTATTTATTTCTCTGCTTGTGCACTGCCGGTTCCAACACAGCTATCTCACCCTCTCGCTCCCGGTCGTGGCGATTAATGCCTCGACCAACTGCGCACTCGCACTACAAATAGAAACAAAATCACTTCTGATTGTACAGCTCGCTGCTCTGGATTTGGTTGTCTTAGCTGAAGCTTAACGGCGAAGTGTCTTAGTACTGTACCGCGCGTGTTTGTGTCTTTACACAGTGGCCTATTATACCTGGAGTCATAGAACGAAAAGGCAACAAATCTCCCCGATGAGCATTTTGGTTCATGGAATCTTGAGTTCCAGTGTGAATCAGAACAATTCAAACATCTCGGAAGGATGCTGTTGGCGTTTTATATTTTCACATGAATGCAACAAACGAATGTTTCATGTTTTGCAAAGGTTAAGCCTGTAGCCTTACACCGTGAAACCAAAAACATCACTACTGCAGCACTGCCAAACTTTTCTAAATGCACATTTGTGGAAAGATTTTTTTTCAGGTAAAAATAAAGGAACTGTCACCAATTCATAATCTACAATCAATATTTAACCGTACTGTAGAATAATTACTGTAGGACGTAAAATGCCTTAAAACACCAGCAGCTTCTGGTCATGTGTTAGATGTGGGGTGTTAGAGCTTTATTAGTGTTAATTCTAGTTATCATGATATGTAAACCATAGGGAATGAATGTAGTTGACATGCTCTTCTCTTTAATGTGACAACTTGTGTACTGCTGTATGACACCATATCAATAAAAACTTGATTTAACTGGGGCTGCACACTGTTTCTTTGTGTCTTTTTACACAAATTTGACTTGAAAAACGCTTGTTTAGCCCTTTGTGTCCTTTGCTTGATTTATTGAAAATCACTGAACTAAAGCACAGCTGAGACGGTTTTAACTTTGGCATTTAAATAGTAATTTGACTCCACTGCACTGTAGCTATATCCATAATCTGTTAGTACATAATTGAAGGTACTGTGTAAATGTGACGTTATTAATAAATTATTCATTTTGTAAATATGTAATGCAGTGTTGCTGGTTAAATTAAGATTATTCATTCAGACAAGTAGTCCATTATTTAAAGCTAAAAGTCCACTCAGATCATCTTAATTAAAAACGATGAAGTTGCTGTTTTTCCTCAAACCTCAAAATTCCCTTTACGCACGACTGCATGCAAGATGTCACGCACAGAGTACGTGTTGTGAATAACTCTCGGCTACATTAAGACTGAGTTCAACATCTGTAAATTTGCCTGAGTTATGTTTTGATTTTATTTTTAACTAACATCAAATAGCAGCGGTGGCCATCTTGACTTAGATTGGCTTCAAAAGTTAATGAGTTGTAGGTCTAATTAAGACACATCTGATGGTTCATGAGATATTTTGCTAACAGACAGACTTAGTTGACTTTAAATGGTTAAGAGTGAAATTTTAAACAAAGATGGAGCAGGTAATATGTTGAGGGTCTGTCTCTGCAATACCACACCTAATTTTGGTTTGATATCTGTAAAGTTCCTGTAAAATTTCCAGATTTATTTATATTTCTGTCTTTTTCTGATTCATTTGGTTGTGGCGACCATCTGCTTCAGAGGGTGATCAGTTGCAGAGGCTCACAGTCAGCGGTTGTTTCCTGAAAGTCCAATTAAAACCCACAGACTGTGAAGACTGTCCTTGACCAGTTCACATCAGACAGCTGTGTCTCTTTGACCTATTTTCTTTTTCTTTTCCGTCACACAGCAGTGATGGATTACCTGCACTGACCTTGATATCACAACTCCTGGTCCACATTCAGCCCCAAACCCTAAGATGTTGGTCCTGGTGGGCCGACTGTTATTATTCCATCTCCTGCCCAGCAGCTGGGTGGGACAGGCGTGCAGCTGCGTGTGTGCGTGATGCAGATTGCAGTTCTTCAATGATTTATACCCCTGCAGTGCCGCTGAGTGGAAGGTGTGGCCCTGATGTGAGATGTCACAGTAAAAGCTCTGTTATGAAATCAGCCTTTCTGTTACAGCTTCAAACCTGCAGAGTGCTTGAACTTTCTTTTTCTTTTCTCCTCGATTAAAAGTTTTACTCCTCTTCCGCTTTACGACCACAGGAAGTCCTCGTACAAGGCTGTGCATAAATCACAGTCCTGTCGTCTGACTGGTCGTTTACTACAACTGCTGGAATAAATCCGTCACTGAACTGTTTGTGTCATCCTTTATGGTTTAGGAAGCAAGAAAAGAAACAGAGCTTACAATATTCAGAAAACATATATATTATAGTATTATACACTCTTTCCTGTGAAATTTGATTTGGGGATGAGTGAGTGATTTTATTTAAAATATGTGTAGCTTTTTTTTTTTTTTTTTGCAGAATCCCACAAAATATTTTCCCCACATTATTGCAGTATGGTTTGTGGGCGGAGCCTGATCTAATCCTTATAGGTGATCAATCAGAGTCTGCGTACAGTCACAGCTACATTCTCCCTCAGATGTTTTTCATTGTAATGGTAAAACAGTGTTGTTCTGACACAGTGCTAATCTTTTGTTTTTACGACCTGCTCATAACAATCTTATAGAACAAAAATAAAATGTGTTCAGGCAGAAGCCCGGTTTATGTTCCGTCCACTGAAATAAATGTCTGTGGGGTTTTGACAGTGTAAGAAATTAGGCGGCAGACCACAGCTGTAAATTTTACCTTTTTGGTTGAGGTCTGCAGCTCCAAGCTATTCATCTTCACTTGACCAATGGGGTGTCTGAATAAATGTCTGTGATCGCTCTCAGGAACAAAAATCCTCCCAGAAAGCAAAAACAATAGAAAATGTTATTCAATTTGCAAAAGAAAATTTGATATTAATCTGCTTTGAGTTGAATTAAATGATCGATTTATTACAAGCTAGGAACAACCAAATGGGAGAAAATCCATTCATGTCCATCTTAATATTTCTAAGCTGAGATGTTGCACAAATGGTTAATGTTCTTATAATTTGACCAAATATGTGACAGATTTAGGTTAAAGTCAGAATCTCACTGGACTGCCGTTGTTCAATACCTTGAAACTCTCTCTGCTGGGTTAAATCTTTGCATGAGCTGCAGAAGATTACAGTCATTTGAACTTGTTTAAAATAATGCAAAAATAATTTCCTTTAAAGAAATACCGCATCTCGAACTTGTCTCAAACCACTCTYAGTGTGTCTTGAGCTCTCCTGTGACACAAAACATCTGAGGCTACAGCTCCGAACGTCTGAAAACAGTTATTCAAAAAAATTGACCCATATCTATAGCTTCTTTTAAAAGTGTTTTCTGGTCGATTAAATCATTAAAGGGGGAATATCCTGCAAAATCCACTTTTTTAAATGTTAAATTTTGTTGTGTACTTGGAGTCTCTAGTGCAGAAAATTTGAATGTTTTTTTTTCTGGTGCTGCAAACATCTTTATATTGTGTGTTTGGATCATGTTTTCCAATTACTTCAGTTTTCTCTATTCTCTATTATGTTTTCTGAACTATGACATCACAGTTTTTGCAACAGAACTGCCAAATAATGTCAGGTCTTCAAAGAGACAGCCTCAAAACGAGTTGATCCAAGACACACCTCAGAAAAAAGGTGAAAGAGGGGCTTGTGGAGTTACAATAAGGAGGAATTCAGACCAAAGCATTGTAGTTCTACTTTACACAGACCCTAAATTAATAATTTAAATGTAAAAAAGAAGGMTTTAAARGCAGGAYATGTCTCCTTTAACGTGGGGACAGCTGCTAAGGTGGGTATAAAATGGCTGAGGCATGTTGACAAGAAAATTTTGTGCTGAAGGTTCTGTTTTGCAAGCTTTTTTAATGAGTGAGATATGGGGATTAGACTTAACTTGCAATCTTTTCTCTGTTTTTTTTTTCACCACAGGCGGTGAGGTTTTATTATTAGCAACATATTACAATTTGATTCAGTCAGATATGCCTATCTAAGAGTTAAATGGATAAACAAAGGGTTAAGCTGTGAGATTCAGTTGCCTTAGCATCTGTTGCTGGTGTCTTGCTGAGCTGCAGCAGCCTTGGGGAGTGTGCGCTCTGAGTCTGTGGAGACACACTGTTTGCAGTTTGCTCAGACAATTTAAAGAGACAAAACTCTGCAGAGCACCCAGGTTTAAAAGAAGGAATAAGGAGACAAAAAACAAGCAAAAAGCAAAAAGCAATGGCACATTAGGAAGATGATTTTTAATTTAAAAAATAAAAAAAATAGGTACAATTATGTTTAAAACAATGATTTTCTGAAGGGAGCTGAATTTTCATCTTGTATTTTTTGCACAAATGGACAAAATCCACCTGCTTTCTGGTAAAAAATTGAAAATGCTGAATCATTTTGAGGAAGGGCCTGAGCATGACGTGGCGTTCACTCTCAGTGAACAGCACAGTGGTAGTGTGATTTTTTTTTTCACTCGGTGCTAATAATAGCTAAGTCACAGCCAGCTGAGCCAGACAGGCAGGCAGAGGAAAGGAGTTATTTATCCCTGAACAAAGGGGAAAGCTGCAGACCTCACTGACCTTTTTGGAAAGATAAATGAGGACGTGTTCAACCTGAGAAATATAATTACTATAGCTGATAAGTGAGATTGGCCTTTGTTTTCCAAATGTTCTCTGAAATTTTCATTTTAGAGTAAAGATTTAATGTAATGCACAAATATAATTTAGTGAAATATTTTATCTTTAAACTGATGTTTGTCCAGATTTAACACTTCACTACATTACCAACAAACCAGAAACTAAAGGTAATTTTCACATAATGTTAGGGGTTTTCTTTCTTATTCAGAGGGTGATTCAATGCTTCTCTTGGTATCCCAAAAATAAAGTGACAGAAAAGGAAACTTGAATAATTAAAGAGCAGTTATTTCTGGGTTTCAGCTGGGTGGCTGAAGAGGAAAGTGAAGGTAGTTTGAGGAGGTTTCAGAAGGAACAAAAAAACACTAAAACTAAGGAAAATAAAGTTGTCAGTCTTGTCTTATATAGAAGTTAAAAACAGACTTCTTTATTTTTTACACTCTTATAATACATGTCTCTAAAGATCCCAGTGTATGTCATGCTCAGTGGAGGACAGAGAGTTGTCTTCTTGCACTACTTCAGCTGAAACCTCCTGAGTTTTATCCAGTTCGCACATCATGACACAGCAGTTTGAGAAACAACAAATCAATCCAGGAAACTGAAATCAAACCAAAGATTTTCCTGAGTTTGACAAACCAAATAAATGCTGGTTTTCTCATGGGTAGAAATTTGACAGATCACATCAAATCCAACACACTGAATCTTCAGCTGAAATCCTGATAAAAGTGAGTTTATCCCTTTTTATTTCCCTTGTGACAATACAGCGGATAAAATAAGTATTGAACACGTCAACATTTTTCTCAGTAAATATATTACTAGAGGTGCTAATGACATGAAATTTTCACCAGATGTCGGTAACAACCCAAGTGCTCCATATTGTACATACAAAGAAATCAAACCATAAATGTCCAGAAATGAAGTTATTTGTAATAATGTGGAATGGCAC